CTGAATGGGCACAGTTCCCCGCTTTGCATTTGTGCACTTCATGTCTCACACAAATATTTATGTCTTTTTAAATAGGTTGTTCACTGTATAGTAGTGTCTTTATATTGTATAAAATAGCTTGTCTGTTCACTATGCTATACACATTTTATGTACATTCACTAAGGGAAGGTTCAATGTACATGTAAAAGCCCTTGAAAATGAAACTCATTCAGATATGGATGGCTGAGTAGTGCTGAAAGTAACTTGCTGAGGGAATATGTGAGAAGGAGAAATGAGGATTAAGGGGATAAGAGTGCTATAATATGAGGAGCTGGGGGGCACAGATGTAAAGAGCAGAAGGAATGGGGAAAAAACAAAAGAAAGAGACTCAGAGCTGAAGATGACAGCATGGGGAGGAGAGAAAGATGTTAGAGATGAGACAAACAGTGGGAGCATGAAGGCAAGGAGGAGGACTGAGGGCCTACAGGTGGCGGATGAACATGGAGAGTGGTGCAAAGTAGAGAGAACTTGAGGAAGAGGGAGAGAGAAAGGGCAGAAGGAAGGGAAATGGGAAAGAGAGCACAAATCAAAGTTTCATGCTGTTATGTTACTGCAAAGGCAAGAGATGCAAATAATGAATAAAAGGCACAGGGAGAGTATGTGCCAGTGGACAGTGTGGTGGTACATTTCACAGGCTTATCTGTTATATTTAGAAACCACCTACGTGTGGATGTACCTGTGCTGTAAAAGCTGATGGCTGTTTCAACAGCAGCTGCTGAGGCTGAAGCAAATCACAGTCTCTGATGTAAGAGTGATCAGGGTGCCATGAATGATTGATCAGTACTCGATTCTCCATATAGAAAAACTCGCAGAGCAGAGGACACACACAAAAAAGGATCTAAATCTATGAGAGGGAAATGAGGCGGCGGTGGGAGAGTTAGAGACACAAAGTGAGCGCAGTGAGAGAGGGAAATGACACCAGTGGTGCCTCTGGAAGGAAGAAGAAAGTTAAAGTTTCTTTTAATTAGCCTGAGGCTTGCTATATTTGAAAGATAGCAGGGGGAGTGTGTGAGAAAGACTAAATACAAACACTGTATGTGTGAGTGCATGTGTGCCAGCGTATGTGGGTGGTCCTGATTTTTATGCTTTATGAAGTGGGTGGAGAAAAATATGTTTAGTGTTGGTTTTCTTGGCAAGACAAAATGAAAAGGCCCCTGCTTTGAAACCCTAACTCACCAAGGTGGACAAAAAAAGGGATTTCTCCTCTCCCTCATCACCTCTGCCCCTGAGCAGAGAGCTGAGGCCAAAAGTGCAGCAGAAAGCTGTTTTTGTTCAAACTGTATAAATATGAAGCAGAATGATGCGGGAAATGTTTTCCTCAGGAAAAACATATGTCTAGAAAAATCTAGCTTTGTGACCTTTGTACCTGTAATCTGGCATCCGTAGAGCTCAAAGCGCAAGGCGATGCCATTCTTCCAGGTCTGTGGTCGGATACGAACGAAGCGGGCCAAGACTGGCTGTGGGACCCGGTTCAGAACCACCTCAGCAGGGTCTGTATTGGCGTGAAAAATCTGGGAAAACAAAGCCAAATAGAAGTCAAACAAAGGTTGGATACTGTCAGAAGGAAATATACTGTATATGTTTTGTCTTTCTCTTTTTCCTCACACACACACTAACTAACTCTTGGTCTACAACCACCCACAGTGCCTGGTTTCGCTTGGCTACACACACGCACACGGTGGCAGGCTGGACAAAACAGACAACCCAAACATAGATCCAATGTCACCATCCCAGCTGTCGATGTGTTTTGGGGTCAAAGGTTCAGCACTGGGAGGCTGGGAAGCGATGGATGAGGGTTTCTTTCCCTCTCTTCCATGCTCACACATACTCTTCTCACTCATACACCAACCTCCATACACCTCTATGCTGGTGGTCATAGGAAGCTGTGGGAGACATGACCTGACATGACCAAACATGATTGGCCTTCAGCGGCAGGAAGTCGGCCCAGGTGGGAAGGATGTCAGAGAAATTTACTTCCTGAGGCGTCCACCCAAAGAACCAACATTTACTTCTTCTCCATGAACGCTCCCCTTCCTTCCATTTGTTCTTTAGTGGCGGGGTGGGGCAGCAGGGGTTGGAGATCAAATGTAACCAGGGTGATCAAGTTACTTCCTGTTTTGGGCAGAAAAGCGTCCCATGATGCTTGAGGGTGTAGGATGGGGGCACTCAATGACAGATGTGAGTTTAGTTTTTCTTTTTTTTTGTGGTGGAAAACTTTCCCCTACACTATAATTCCTGGTTTGTAATTATGAATAACTCAGCCTCCTCCATCCACTCCCTTGTCTGTCATTACTAAATCTGCCTGAATCCCTTTATCCCTACACCTCCATTTTCTCTTCTTTAGGACTATTGATATCTCTCTACTCCTTCTCTCTAACGCCCATATGCCTTTCTTCCTCCTGTTAGTGGGTACATACACAAAAACACAGGAAACCACAGTAACACACACACACACACAAAGTCAGATAAGCAGAAGAAGCGTCTTTTAACTGACTGAGTGACTGTTAAGTGTCACTCACTCTGTCTGCGGTCGCCTGGGCCGGCTGATAGAACAGCGGCTGCTGACCAATGGATATCAGCGAAACCACACCGACTAACATCACGGCTGCTATATACAATGGAAAGATGGAAAATCATCTGCTACAAACAGCTGAATTAAAGATTAAAGGCAGCATTTCATGACATGGCTCTAATCCAAGTACAGGATGATCAAACCTAAAAACGCTCACACAGCCTAAAAATTTGATTCCCTCTTCTTTTGATAATATTGTTTTCCACATATGTGATAAACATTCTGGTTCCACTTAGAAACTATTTCTCTGTCACATTAGTGTAAAGTGACCCATTTGTAAAACTCCATTTCTGATACAAGTGTCTCAAAATAATACAATATTCCAGAAATTCCTTAACCTGTGGGAATATGAATAATATGACTTCAAAATCCTACTCGAGGGGTTTTATTTGATTTTGGGCATGGCCTGATTTAATCAAGTGAAGCTGACACTGGTAATACAAAGCAGTGTGCGTGTTTGAACAGATAAGTGGAGCTATCTCTGCTGAATGGAGGATAGACAGCCATTATGTTTACCTAAGAGGCCAAACAGTGGATGCAGGCTCTTATGGGGGTTATGTAAGCACCCACGCATGCTCACAAAAAGACAAGCACATGATGGAGGGTCTGCCTCAGATGCAGCCGACACATCTTTACCACTCCCAGATAATCTGTCTGTGAAACAAAGAGCAGCAGGGAAGGAAGATGGGAAAAACAGAAAATTACTGGAGGGAGGAAGAGTCCTCAGAAAAATAGTTAAAAACAGAAGAGGAGAGGGGTGGAGGCAGGGGAGAGAAAGAAAAGGTTGAATGGAGGGCACTAGACATAACTTAATAAAGGGTATGAACAGAGCAATGTGGAAGCGGAGGCAGGGAGTGGTGGCAAGTAGGAAGGAAAGAACCGATTCATAGCTGAAACAGGAAATACTCCAGCACGTCATCGCACAAACATCATAGTTCAAGCATCACAATATCGCGGTGCCTTATTAACTTTTCATGCACCATAATCTGAAGAGAACAGTGTAGATTGTTGCCAAAAGTTTCAACTTCAACATTATGTAATAAATGAACATAACCAGACCCATAAATATTCCATTTCAAAAGTGAAAAGTTTGGAAAAGTCTGTAAAATATTTATCCGTTACAACTTCCCAGAAATGTCTTGTTCCAGTATACAAAATGCCCATCATGACTAAAAGGCCATTAGCTAGTGCATTATAATATTGGCAGCTGCTTTTCTTCTTCATCTTTGGATGAAAGCAGGGAATATAGCCAGCACTACCAACACAAAATGCACAATTTGTTCAATCAGATCTCAAGAGGCTCTTTCTATTTTTCTTGTGGATGTGAGAGGAAATAAACTCAGGAGAAAGAGATAGAAGACAGTTTGCTCTCAGCCTCTTCTGCCCCCTTCACTTCCTCCCATCTATTGTCAGGGCACCTGAAAAGTCACTCACTTCACCCCTGACTCATTACTTCCAGCGCTGAAGGTCAATGGCCCTAGGAAGCAGGTGGCTGGTCACTGACCACGCTGATAATGTGGTTACTTTTTGACTAACTAGAAAATGAGCTAAAGGCTGCCAGTCTGTTGTCTGAGCCACCGCTGTAATCTGCCTGATGACTGGCATGTTTTTTTTGTTTTTGCTTGTGTTTCTATGTGACCCTCCCTCCTCTGCCCTCCTGTGCATGTGAGGTGGGCTGAATAATTAACATTGTCATGTTGTGTCTCCTAGTGTGGAGTCATGAAAATATAACAAAGCCCCCCCATACACACAGACACAGCAGCATGTGATGGTCAGTCATTTGTGCAAACACTGGCAGGATGCAGGCACCGTGAGTATTTAACTATTGATGACCTCTCCAGGGAACAAGGTGACTGTGAATAGAATCTGTGTGTGTGTTATCGAAAAGATCTAAAAGACCTGCACATAGAGAGCAAAGAGAAGCTCTAAACAACAACATTTTACTGGCTTGTTAGAGTAAAGAACATTTGTTTTCTGGAAAATGAGGCGTGGAGAGATGTATACATCATAGCTTGATTCATTTACCATCTCACTCTCAATTCTGTGTCTTTGGCACGTCTCCTTTCTCTGCCAATGTTTTCCTCCACGCTGATGGCACCACAGGGAGATGCAGCGAGGTCTGCACAAGACATTATTTGCTTCCCGGCCATTTCTTTTCATCCCTGCGTTGTTCCCTTGATCCCCAATCATTATACTCCTCATCCTCATCTTCCTGCTCCACTTACTCCCTCTGTCTCCTTCCTTCTTTCTATCCATTACCCCCTCCCTATCTTTGCTGGAGACCTTCTCTCTCTCCCTCTTCCTCAGCTCTTGGTATGAAGATGTTGACAGTCGGAACTGGTTCCAGCTGGCCGCTCTTCGCTACTGGCTCTAAGGGGGGCTAGTAGTGTGTGTATGTCTGTGTGCACTAAGGTTGAAGCAGTCATCTGTAGAAATGATCTAACACTACCTTATGTGGAAGTCTCCCAGTTTGTACCAGTGTTACCAGCTGTGTCTGACCCATGCCTGTGCGTATGGTTGTGTAGCTCCTGTGTTAGCATGAGTAAGTAACAAACAAACCTTTTGTGTCTGTATGTGGGTGTGTGACACAGAATGAGGGAGCAGCAGACTGAAATGCTGCATGGGCTTTTTTCCTCCCAGGTTACTTTGTGTTTGTGTGTGTGTTGAACAGATGTAGCATAGCCTCACAATTCTTTTCACTAACACAATGCTTAGTTAGCACTGGGGCTGATGAGATTTTCCTCACATACAGATGACACTGTGTGTCTTTAATGTTAATGTGTTGGTGTGCACAGGTGGGTCTATGCTACAGAAAATCATTGTGTGTTTTTACGTGTGAGTGTGTGAGGGATATGCAATTCCTATGTGTGCTAGTGTCTCATCAAGTAATGAGGTGCATATGTGAGTAGTGCGATTTGGAATTAACAAGTCAAATGGCTGTCAAACTGAAAATGTGTCAGAAATCACAGGCACACACAAAGCCTGTTTGCCGATGTGAGTGAGGTGATCCAATCATCTGCAGTGATGGTGCGTTTCCCTTCACACAGCGCTTTCATTTCTCCACCAGAAAAGTACTTACAAAGTCCTTTTCCTTTTCAACTTTCAGTCTTTATCAGCATTAAATCCTTTCAGGCTTTGTTAACACAGCAAATAAGGACACAAATACAACAATAATTGGCAACGCGCTCTCTCCCAATAACAAACAGCGAGTAAAGACGTGCCGAGCCAATCCTTTATTCATGGGTGATTCATATCTGATGCACAGACACACTCACTGCTCAACCTTCCACAAACACTCAGATACACTCGTGCGCACATGCTTTTCCAAAGCCACATTAGCTTCGAGCTCACTGTTAAATGACAATTAGAAGAACCAAATCCCCGTCATTACAGGACCCCCTGATGAGAACTGAGCTTCAACCACTTAAGGGCTCTTTGGGGGGCTTAGGATGGGCTAACTGGGAGTTTGTACGACATGACTGGTGGATTAGCAGTCACGGAAGATTCAACTGCAGCCCACTGGGACCAGAGGGGAACCTGGCGAGCCCTTCATTTTCACCATTACAAAGTCAGGACAGGCTGAAAATTGTGCTTCGTTTTATTTTAAATTAGCAGCCATTATCATTGACTGGACTTGGACATAGTGTTCAGCCTGGATATTTTCCACTGTACCAGTCACTTCAGCCTTTTTTCTTTCAAATCTGCTATGTTTTATTGATCTTTCACCTTCCTACTGGTCTGTGTGCATCCTAAAGGCGTGAAAACATAACTGATTTAAAGAGTTCAAAGCGACCACTCACAGAACAAGCAATATGTCTTCCAAATGGATGCCGATGCATCTGTCTGAGTCCGTGTCATAACAGTTTTTTGCTCAGACAGATTAGTGGGCTCAGATTACACAGTACAGACAGACAGGCACACATCATATACATATGCACACACACGCACAGATCTCCAGACTGAGAAATCAGCCAGAAGTTAGTCAGAGGGGGGGCTCTGGATTTTGTGTGGATATATATGAGATTACACAGTACAGTCAGACAGGCACACATCATATACATATGCACACACACGCACAGATCTCCAGACTGAGAAATCAGCCAGAAGTTAGTCAGAGGGGGGGCTCTGGATTTTGTGTGGATATATATGTCAAAAGAATGGGAGGCATCTAGAGGGTTCTAATAAATTGCACAGATGTTAAGTCAAATCCACATTTCGTTCAATAATCTCCACATCAAATAACCCCCGCTGGCCCCTCCAAAATCAATCACTGGGAGGTCCCTGGCTGTGTGCATTAACGCCCTTCACACACTCCCACACATGCCATTTTTTTCCACACCACCAGGAAGCCTTTGTAACAGAAACGCACTCAGCCAACACCTGGTGTGACTCCAAGAGTTTCACAACTCTCGGTGTTTATGTGACAGAGATGAATAGCACGTCCAGATAAGGGCACATGGAGGACTCCATTGTTCTTATTTGTCAGCTTTCCCTTCTCTCTCTGTCTATGTCTACCTCCTTCCTATTCCAAATCCTGGTTGAAGAAGGAGTTTTACCCTTGTAGGCTCCATTTTTTGTCTTTGTGTAGAATATGTTAATCTTAATGCGTTCAAGCAGCTCAGGTTCTGGATTGCTTTTCATGACTTATTTTAATGCACAGTATGCTGTGAATGTGTGTGCAAATACCTTGTGGTTCTTGCCATGTCGGTACACCATCCAGTCCTCTCCATTGGTGCTGACCTCCAGTTTAAAGGTGGTGACATAGTAGGACTTCTGAGTCTCCTTGGAAATGGCTCCCTGTGTGGCGATGCCTGTCAAAACCTTTAGGAACTGGAGGTCAACCTGGGGGAAAGAAAGCAAAAATGAAATGATTTAAAACTAGATTTATTGTAGTCAAGATGGTTTTTCTTAATAACTGAAAAGAAAAGATTGCTAAAGAAAAGGAGAGAGTTTTAGCCCAGTGGCTGGTGCTCAGGGCTGATGTCGAAATACAGACATTCCAGCTGCTGTGTCTATGCATCAGTCAGAAAGCAGTGGATGGACACTGACTGCTGAGGAAGCTGTTTATGTGTGTGTGTGTGTCTGTGCATTGTCGTGCATGAGGGGAGGAAGGCTGGAGGCAAAGATCAATGGCATAATGTTAGGATGAATTCCTAAGAAGCACCTTCATCAATCACAGGCTTCTCCACTCTGCACTTGTGTGGGTGTGTGTGTGTGTGTATGTGCATGTGCATGTGCATACATGTGTTTTTCAGACAGGATAGAGTGAGAGCACAGCAACACTTTCTTATCATCAGTTCAGAGTTCTCCAGTTCCCTTTTGTGTGTGTCCTGTGTATAAGATGCTGTTACTTTGCCCAGTGCATCTTCTTCTCTGTACTATCACTAAGACAAAATCAATGTTTCTCTCAGCTTTTTCCTGTTAGGGGTCGCCACAGCGAATGGTCAGTGTGACGACATTTGGCACATGTTTTATGCCAGATGCCCTTCCTGACACAACCCTAATTCAAACCCGGGCCGCAGCAGTGAGAGCACTGTGCCCTAGCCAGTAGTATACCTTTAAACTATCACTAAGACAAATTCTCTATATTTATTGTCCTCAGCTAATGAAAGTAAGGCTGATTCAGATTGTCTTCTCTGCCTATTGCCTCTTTTCTACCGCTGATTCGGTGGTTTCTGAAAGGTGCAGAGAAAATCTACGTAGCAACAAAGATGACATGTGGTTGAATATAATCTTGCAGCTAAACACCTGTATATACTCCTTGTTGCTGTCCTCTGAGGGAGTCCAGGCATTGTCATTGTTATTGAGGCGGGCCTGGCGTGGCAACCAG